CTTAACCTTTAAGTCTTTAACCATCTAGATTTCGTTTTAAAAGCGTGGCAATGGCAAAGCCAAAAAGAAGTTGTAACCAAATGGTTAAGTTTGGTTGGTGATCCGTATATCATTTTTCATGGATGTATTGATTTGACTATGTCACCTCTTTATTTATTCTGAAATTAATGTGTTTTCCTTCATTAAAAGTTATGACACACAATCTTGATTCCTTTCTAATGAACCATCTATATGGATGACCATGTGAATACGTACACCACTGAATTAATGAATGAAAATCTTTGAATAAACAAAGTTCTCTATACTTGAAGATTGCTTTTCTTTTTGGATGAATCCTATAATTCAAGTCTGCGTCCTATATATAAAACTTGAATACCACATTTCAATATCTGTCACATTTGTAATGATATACCAGAATTTTTAATATAAAAAAATCACTTGCATCTTCCTTTGAAATATAATTCCTCAGAACAAACTATTTGATACAATAAGCTAACAAAAATCGAGAATGTAACTTTAGTCAATTGTTAATTGTTCATCTTTACGGTACTGCCCGCTGGAGTTTGATTCCATTAAATCATGTTTCTTCGTGTTGTAGGGTTAGCTATAGATCGGATCTTATCAATCTAACTGATAACAAACAAACAAAAATCTAAGCAAAATCTTTTAGTAAAACAATTTACAAAAAGGAGATAAAAGTTTCCAATCAAAAATTACTTAGCAATTCATTATTCAAAATTTTAAGTACGACATTAGGGACACTAGGTGCGTATCCCCTGTGCAAGCGCGGGGAAGTTGATGAAATTGTTGCTTTATATAAAAAATGTGGAGATGGTGTTATATGAGGTGGTCTTTGGTATGTGAATATTTGTCATTTGTTAGAATATTTATGGTGGGAAAAAGAGTTGATAGAAAAATCTTAAACCAAATTATTTGATAATAAATTTTAGTTCGGTTTGGATCAGCTTCGGTTCAGTCTTTGATTCGGTTTAATGATGTCGCATTTATTTTAAATAATGTTCATATTCTCAAAATTGATAGATATTTGTGTTATAATTTGTAATTGGGCGTAACTTGCCGATCTTAAGGAGTAATCTCTGTTTATAATGTTGTTGTTAAACTTGTGTAGTTGAGTTGCCTATATTTGGATATTATGATGGTTGGAGGTCGGGTCATTATCAGCTAGTTGTATATGTGTTGTTGATTTAGTCAAAGACGATTTGTGTGGGAAGAAAGTAACTGAGAACTCATTTAAGTGAATGGTCTTAGAATCACTACTCCAACCATTTTCATACTTATTATTAATGCATATTATTCCTTACTACTACACTAAGAAGAAAAAGTAATCATCCAAGCTCTCATAACCTCTCTAGTAGATTCTCCAATATAATTCCTCATCTCTCTAGAATTTGATCCTCAATGATCTAACTAAAATTTCAACAACAAAAGTTATGCTGGGTATCTCTTTTATCGTACTTCAGGCAGGCGGCCACGGGTTTAGTAATAATCTAAATAAATTCTTTCTATATATAAAATTTTTCATCAACATATAAATAATTGTCATTACACAAATTAAATGTGAAAATTCTCATAAATTTAAAATATTTAGTAATAAATTAATATGTTTTTAGACATAAAAAAATATAATAAAATTATCTTTAGTAATGTTTTGGATAACACAATATAAATTATCTATACATAATTCTTTTGCGAATGGATTTTTTCATAATTAAATATATATTAAAAAATATAATTATTTTTCAAGGTTAATAAATATTTTATAACACAATATAAAAAAGTTAGATAAGGATAATTATCAAATTCATGAAATTCGTTTTTAATTTAGAATTAATTATATATTAACAAATATTATTATTTTTCAAGGTTGATAAACATAATATAAATTTTTTTAAATAAGGATAATTATCAAATAAATGAAATTCATTTTTAATTTATAATTAATTTTATATTAACAAATATAATTAGTTTTCAAGGTTAATAAAGACTTTATAACCCAATATAAAATAGTTTTAGATAAAGATAAATCTAAAATCATTGAAATTCGTTTTTATTTATGTTTAATTATATATTAAAATTTTAAATTATTCATTAAGAGTATATACAATATTAACCATTTTAACTTTTAACGTGAAAGCTCCGTTGCGAAAAATCACTTCGCAAATAATAGTATAGATATGTAAGCGAGATGAGAAACTCTAACATGAGCATTATCCACTTGGGGACCTTCTTTAGCCAGACGAAATCCAATAATTCTGGATTTTAATGATTGTCTGAAATCACGTTTAATAGCATATTTGATTATTTTAATTCTATGCATATTACCTTGAAAAAAATATGTATCTGGTAAATGCATAAAACAATCAAAAGAATCTGTTTTAAAACCATATTTATATCATTTCCTTTTCGTCTTTTTTTATTTTTGTTTCGTCCCTTCTTATTTTACTTACTTATTTAATTAATTAAGATATAAATTTATATGAAAAATCAATTATCAGGGTGAAAATACCGTCTCAGCAATCTTTTGAAGATAGTGGACCGAGGTTTAAAGGTATACAATTCCATATATCTACGTGATTATTCAAAAAGAGAGCACTGAGCCTCATGTTTTAATCGGATTAATACAACTCATGAATCTCTAAAAAATAATACCCAATAAATTAATAATTTTTTAAAATTAATAAATTTCGTCAGTTCTAATTTCAGTCAATTCAAAATTTATCACATATCGATAAAATAATAATATAATATTTTTTAAGAAACTTTTATATAAATATATGATCTCATTAAAACTATAAATTAATAATTTATATGTATACATATTTTCATATAAGTAAGAACCTATCATTATGTTTTTTTATATTCACAATGAAATTATCTTTATATTTTCTTAACATTTAATATATTTTAATGAGATTTAGTAATCTTCTATCAAAAATAACATTTAAATTATATGCAATATATTATATATACCAAATAACATAATAAAGTTAATATAAATGTCAAATTTTTAATTAAAAATAATAAATGTCTATACACTAAAATCCAATATATTTTTATCTTACAATAAATATATCTTTAAATAAAAATCTAAATAAAGAACTTTTTGTAAATTACTGTCTATAACTTAATAAAATTTTAAATCTCAACATAATTAATTGAAACAAACTATTATTCGTTTATTGGTACTCATTTTAGCAACATTATCTTTTACTCGGGCTTAACAACAATAAATCCATATGAGATACACTCAAATGGAATGAAAACATAAGAAATGCAAACTGTTGGATTTGAACTCACGCCCTTGCAGATCAAACTCTACCCCTAACACCACTTGGTCGAACTATCATTTATTGTTAAAATCATTTTAGAAAGACTATGATCTTTTTTAAAATAAATGCGGAATCCACAAATTTGCTGACGTGACGCTTTAAGTAATGAGTAAAACTCCCTTGTTATAATGTAGATTTCCATCCCCTAATTAACAGAAATTGAAGTTGCAATAAGTTTAATTTCTAACTTCTCTCTCCACCGAAAAGAGTCTGTGTTGATTGAGACAATCTCAAATCCGTTTATATTTTCTTCCTATTGTACCGGGGGGAAAATATATATGGGTTGGAATAGTTGAGCTTGAGTACAAAGTATGCAATCCAATAGGATAATTCCACCTCTTTGATGGCATGGTTGTTTTCCTTGAGATGCAAGTATGGAACCACTACCAAATACTGTTTATGTCAATGCACGGCATTGTGTTTTTAATCAAATTACTAGTTGTTGTTACCTGTTAGTATCAAGATTTTGTTGATACCGAATATGAAAATGACATAAATAGTAGCAAAAACTAATACTTTATGAACCACCAATTTAGACCATAAAGTTGTTGTCATCCCTATTTTTCTTTCGACCATAAATATTCATATTCCATTTGAGTACTCTATTTTCTATGGATTGGAATAGTGACAAATCTTCACCTACCTCGACCATATTCTACTAGTTAATCAGTCGTAGAGCTTTATTTGTATACGAATACGAACACAAAAATCTCATTAGCTTTTATTTAACTACCCCAATGTAACATATTCTTCTTCTTCTTCTTCAAAAAAAAAAAAACACATTCTTCTTCAACAAAAAAAAAGAAACATATTCTTCTTCTAATCAATTTGCCTATCCATATTCACTCCGTTCCACAAAGTATATTTGATTATTTTAAGAGAAATCCGAAATTGATATTGTTGTTCTAACTTTTCTTTTTATTAAATAAAAACTAAAATGATAGTCTTGCAACATGTATCTAGAACTCAATGTATTAACCCCGTCTTATAAAATGATTATTACATCTTTGATGATATACTCTATGGTGATCGTTCTAGATACTGCTGCGGCCCAAAGGCCACCATTTAAGATGTGGTCACACTTGGCATCTTACGTTGGCTAACTTCTATACAGCTTTTGTTTTGTTCCAGATTCCTGATCGATTACGACCTGATGTCAGTCAGTGGATTCAATCATTTACATACCAGTCTTGTTGCTTAATAGTATAAGGTGCTTATTAATTTTTGGTGAGTGTTGTTTTGATGATTTTTTGGACAAGTCTTGTTGCATACTATAGTATTCCACCAAATGAATATAAAACTGTAAGAAACAAAAAATACAACCATTATTTATTTACCACATGAATACATAGAAAATATTACATATTTTTATTGTATTCCACGCATTTTGTTTGTTTGTTTGCGTGTATGATAAGATTACACTTTTTTTTTATCATTTTAACTTAGTTTTCAATCCATTAGCAAGTCTTGCTCTTAGATCCTTCCTCAATATCTTCCCAGATGGTGATTTGGGAATGGACTCAGTGAAGAACACCATCTTAATTCGCTTGTAGTGAACCACCTATATAGATCATCATACCGTTACTTATAAGGCATCTAAAGTTTCCATTATTGTGTGTTTCACGTAGCTGAAGACCGATAAAATCTTACTTGTTTCCTGACATAACTCTTGACATCATCTTCAGTTAGCTGAGACCCTTCCAATCTAACTACAAACGCTACAGGAACCTCATCACCAACTTCATCCTTCATTCTGAAAAATGTATTAGCATTAGAAGCCACATGCATAAGAGTTTCAAATTGGAAGTTTTTAGTTATAAACTCACGCAACAACAGCAGCATCCTCAATATAAGGATGAGAAATAAGTAATGCTTCAATCTCAGCTGGAGCCACTTGATAGCCTTTGAATTTGATGAGTTCCTTCAACCGATCCACAATGAAGATCTCATCATCATCATCCACAAATCCAATGTCTCCTGTGTGTAACCACCCGTCTTCATCTATTGTTCGTGCAGTAGCCTCCAGATCATTCAAATAACCTAACAATGTAGCACCATTTCATTCCTATCGAAGTATTTTTCCGAGTGAAAATAAAAACGAACACATCATGATCACTATGAGTTTTTACCCTTCATGAGTTGATCGCCACGGATGCAGATTTCGCCAGATTTATTGTACGGTAAGGAGACTCCAGTAACGGTATCGACCACTTTCATCTCAGCATTTCTGATCACAGTCCCACACGCCCCGGACTTTGTTTTAAATGGGTTCTTTGCAAATGACAATGACTTAGCCACCGTTCCTGACTCAGTCATTCCATAAACCTGAAAACGTGTTTGTTAATTTGTTTTTTTTTGTGTTTAGGCATAACAAAAATGTGAAATAACAATATTTGACAATTTACCACCATAATAACCTTTCCCACTGACGAAAACACGAACTGATGAGAACATGCAGTGGAATCATACACAAGATTTTCTGTCTGGAAACTGTTACTGATAAATTTAACCACTGTCGTACGTATATATGACTTCAACCCCCCCTCCCCGCCTCCCCAATAAAGAAATGTACGACAACTTGAGCATTGGTTCATCAACATGTGGTGGTCCTTGTTATCGACTTAAGTTTGGTATGAATTCTTTAGTGTTTTTATGTTAAATTATAAAATATCATTTCTAAGTTGAGGTTTTACAAGATGTGATTAACAAATATAAGACCTCCACACTTGATTCCACGACAAAAAAGTGTAAAAACGTGAAAAAAAGCAATCGATACTTTGGTCGTTCTGCGTGGGAGCGAACATGACCAGGAGTAACGATACAATCTTGAAAAGTCCGAGCGAGAAGTTGAGCCAAGACAGGCTTGAAGGGAGAGAATCGAAGACTAGGGAACGAGAGCAAACAACACTCAAGAAAGTGATTCATTCAGCTGCCAGAAAAATTGTCATCTCTTAGAGCATCTGCATTGTTCAGTCTCTTCCCTTTAGTCTTTTAGTAGTATTATATTTATACTAGGTTATTTTCCCGTACTCATGCACGGGCATGTTTATATTTATAAAATAAATATACAATAATAATTGATTGATATTTACTTTAATTTTTAAATTAATTTATAGTTTGTATGTCTAATTTATATTATAATATTATATTACTTTAATTATATATATAATTATAGATATGTTATATCTAATCTATTTTATTGTTTTTACGATCGATTTAGTTATCATTTAGATATATTGGATTCTATCTATTTCTCTGAATTCAACTATAATATTTTATAATTTAAATATATTAAATTTTTTATTAATTGTCTTATTTGCATTTATGCTGGTTGTTATCTTAGAAATATAAGTATATTTAGTAAGATTATATATAACTTAAGATTTTTTTGTGCGTAGAAGGACAAAAAATAAAAACTAAAGTGTCTGATTCTAAATTACATCTCTATAAGTAACTAATGAAATTTTAGAAGCTTTTGAACACACATCAATATTTACAATAATTAAAATATTTTATAAATTCTAAACAAATTTATGCTTTAGATTGATTGGATGGTAAACTGAAATTTATTTTAAATAATAAGGATTCTGATTTGCTTAAGTATTTTGACTATGGTTATATTAAGTTTCACAAACATAAAAACAGAAAATTAAAAATCAAAAGATTTATTAAGAAAACAGATAATCTTAACTATAAAAATAATATATATATATATACCTCGTTAAATTGTATAATGTTATGGGATTTTAAAATAATTGTAGTTATTTTCTGTTTTTATTTTTGTGAAACTTAATATAACCATAATCAAAATACTTAAGTAAATCAGAATCCTTATTCTTAAAACAGATAATTTTAACTATTAAAATATAATATATCTACCTCGTTAAATTATATAGTGTTGTGATATTTTAAAATAATTGTAGTTACTTGATCAAAAGATGTTTATTATTAAATTTATTTTTAGTTTTATTTTTAGTATCTCTTAAAATAGTCAGTAAAAAGTGATTGTTTTTGAGAAATTATACTATATAAGTAAAATAGAATTTATCTTTTTACTGTAATTGTAAGATATTGTAGTCAAATAAATATACTAAAAAAATAATTTCAATAATACTAATTATAAAAAATGTCAATTAAATATATATCATTTTATGTTAGTTGATTATTTTATGTAATCATCTAATAAAATAGATAGATATATACAAAAATAATTATTTTGAAAATATATGTAAAGAAATAATATTTCTTTTTCTAATAGAAATATTTTTGTGTGAATTTTTTTTATAAAATCATATTATATACAAATATTGTTTTTTTTTATCTAAGAAGATATAGATATAAAATAGTTTTATTAGTATATTTTATGTTATTTAAAATATTGTTAAATTAAATATTACTATTTTGTGAACTTTTCCTTTTTTATTAAACCATATTATATATACTTATATTTTCGTTTTTAAATAGTTTTGTAAATTTTGTAAATGTTTCCTTTTTATTTTATATTGTTATTTGGGAATTTTTAAAAAGGAAATAATATTTAATTGTATTTTTAATTCATTAAGGGTATCATAGTAATCAACCAGCATCAGAATTAACGTGAGCGCGACACCTAAGAAAGTGACTTCTCAAATAATATTATAGAGATTTCTAAGACAAATTAATTAAGTTTTAAAATTAAACTAGAACTTGATACGCACAACCGTGCTGGTTATTATTTTCATTTTATACAAAATATTAGATTTATATGATTAGTGGTATATAATTTTAATATTTGCCATATTGTTAATAGTTTAATATAATATTTTCAAACACAATAATTTCATAGTTTGCATGCAGTAATTTAATTTATTGTTTCAAATTATTAGTGTTACACTTCTTATTAAACATGAACACTAACTAAAACTTTCTATTATGTGATTTTTAAAACAATTTTGTTCGATTAATTATTAACTTAGATATTAATTTCTTTAAGATTGTACTTATATTTTAGGTTTTGGCCATACATATATGTTAACCGAATTATTTGTATGAATTAAATCTTTGACTCAAGAACCTATATTAAGTATAATTTATAAAATGTCTGCTTCATATAAATTATTAAACCGGATATGTAGTGCATTATGTTTGTTTTTGTCTTTTAAACATAATTTTTTTTATTAGTTATGTTTTTGCGGTTTCTTATATTATCTATTGCTGATTTAGAATTTACTAACCCGGAAATTTTAGACATTTGCAATGATTATTCAATGTTCAAATTTTTATCTTGCAATACTTCATCTATAATACATCAAGTTATATAATTAACACTTAAACCTATAATTATATTTGATAATAAATACAATGTAAATAAAAATATTCATATGAATGATATTTTTCAATCATTCATCTGCCATTTTTGTTAATGACATTAATTGGTATAATACCTATTGTACTTTCAAAATTGCATAGGATAAAAGAAAAAAAAACAATTACATTAATGAATAATATATGGATATAGTCTATATAAAAATGAGCTTGATTATCTTTGGGAAATTGCCAAAAATAACACTTTCAAGATACAACTTTGCAACTTTACACTAACCAACTTTACCATTAAAATTTTAATAGTCAAAATACTATTAGAATTCAGGGTTTAGGGTTTTGGGTTTAGGATTGATAGTTTAGGGTTTAGTGTTGATTTTTTAGGGTTTAGGGTTTACTTTTTAGGGTTTAGAGTTTAGGGTTTAAGGTTTAAAACTGATATTTTAGGGTTTAGGGTTGATTTTTGGGGTTTAGGATTTACTTTTTAGGGTCTAGAGTTTAGAATTGATGTTTTAGGGTTTAGAATTAATATTTTATTTAATATTTATTATATATATAAAGAACAAGGATATAAGAGTCTTTTATCCTTTAATAAAATGTGTATTTTTGAAAATGATCATTTGTTGATGGTAAACATGAAAAGTGGTACCACCAAAGTGGTATAATTGAAATTTCCCATTATCTTTTTGTAAAACAAAGTAGTCATATACTTCTATTATTGAAATATAAAATTAAACATGCTACTATATTTAATAACATAAACTAAATATATTTTCAAAATTGCATTTGTCGACTGCTCATTCATAATGATAGCATACTTTCAACTTTGTGGTAAAAAATTCTGAATTAACAAATCTTAGATTTTAGAGATCAAAAATTTAATTGAAAAATATTAGTCAAATTAGTATCACAAATTCAATACAAAATAATACATGAGTTTAATATAATTACATAATTACTTAGATACTTAAAAGGTTTATTTTAATAAAAATGAAATATACATTTATATTTCAAATAATTAAAAATTAATTAAATATTTAAAAGTTTTGTTTAAGTGAAAAATGAAATATACATTTATATTTGTTTAAAAAAATCGAAAGTAATTACATATTTTAAAAATGTTTTTCATAATGAAAAATGAAATATATATTTATATTGTAAATAAAAAGATATGAAACTATATTTTTGTAGATGTAATTCAGAGAAAATATAGGAATATTTATTTGATTTTTATTAGAATAACTAAAATATTTCAAATATGTATACAAAAAATTATTTAAGTAAGTTTCTAAAGAAATGGTCCAAATAGAAAAATCACACATGAAATAACTCATGACTTCTCTTTTAATATAGTAGATACATTTAAAAAAAAAAGAAACATTTATAATAGAACACTAGATCACGATCTGCGCACCCGCGCGGGTTTTATTTTTCAGATGTATTCTACATAAGTTAGTTTTATATAGTTTCAAGTTTGTCCAATTCGATTTTATGTTTAAAAACAATATCAAAACTGTATTTTATATTAATAGCGTCAAGCAGTGTATTATGTAGATGTAACCGTACATTCAAAACACTATTTTTGTACGTTTGTTCGAAGTGAAAAATCAAATTCAAACTTAACTGCTTATGTTACAAAAATAAGTTAAGAGTTCAGTTACTTTTGATGTTAATAATTATCCAAAGTTTTTGAAAAAAATATACAAATTTCTAGAATTTTGGGTCTTAACCTTTATTTTATAGGTTAGGTAAAATTCAACCTTAACTTTGGTTTTAACTTTGCAAGCTCAAAATATTTTATGATGAAAATTTGATAAATAACTTAACAAATATTTTGGTAATTCGAAAGAAATTTTGTATTTAAAATATTGTTGCATTTAGGGAGTGTTACGGAGACTAAATTTTATAATGATTCTCAGAATTTTGGGATCTAGTGTTATTGGTTTATAGATTTTTAGATTCTCATTAAAGTCTAGTGTTATTAGTTTAATGATTTAGTAACTCTATACCCAATCCTTTGTTATTCAAAAAGTTTAAATTTTAATGATTCCTTAAATCTATTAACATTGGTGTTATTGGAAATTATATTCTTTACGTTTTACTCATAACACACGATTTTGAGAATACTACCTATATACTTTAGATTCTTAGAATCATTATATCAATTTATTTTCACATAATTTCACAATATACAAAACTTTCTACAAGTATTTCCAAATTTAACAAATCCATCAACTTTAAAAGTCAACAAACTCTATATAAATATAACTCCCACTAACATCTCCTTAAAGTATTTTTAAATTTAACCCGAACCGTAGTTAAATCGGTGATCCAATAATTCAATTTTGATTTTTAATAAATATCCATATTTAAAAAAATCACTAAAACCCGAGAATAACCGATTGAATCGATGGATAACTGATAAATAATTTGAAAGAAAATTGTGAGAAATTATTAGAAAGGGTGTCTAATATTTTGTATTCTTTGGACATAAGATTAATTATAGTGTTGTTTGGAAACATAGATAGTAGTATAAAAAATAAATATATTGTTTGGAAACATGGATAGTAATATAAAGAAATGAATATTAGTGATTTAATGTAGGTTTAACTATAAAATAGATAAATGTATTTAATTTATTAACTTACAAAATAAATTTTAGGTGCAACCTAATGTTTTGATTTAATAAAATAGATGTGATGTAAGCGTTTATCTGCAAATGAAGAATGTCTCTTCCTAAAGCAACGGCCCTTCCACTTTTGATTCTTTTTCTTCCATTATTTCTTTTTTATAAATAATTTAATTAAACGAGAAACTCTTACAAAAAGTAACTAGTGCGCATGCCCTTAGAGCATACACAACTCCGCTCAAAGACTACCCTCGCCTCAAGCTCCGAGCTGGGATAGGGTTTAACCCAAGATCTGACGAAAGACTGGACAATGCTAACCAAGGGTGGACCTACGGAGGGAAATCTGAGTTCGGTTGACACTGATTAAATATAAAAACATGTTTAATAAGCCCATTTGAATTATCTGGAATAGTTCAGTTGGTCAGAGTTCTCTTCGATTGAATCCCCTAACCTAAGTTCAAACCCCTATACTGCACTCATATGCTGTCTTTTTTATTATGATAAAAATCTTCTTGTTATACTTGGACTTTCTTGAGTCTATAGTAAAAAAAAATATGACCCCACTTTCTTGTTATACTTGGATTTTTTGGGCCTATAGTAAAAAACTATGACCCCATTAAATCTTTTCTTGGGTTTGCCAGTGACGCTACCACATGAGCTTAATGTTTTTGTCTTATTGTGAAGTGTTTATATATTGAAATATTTGTAAAGGAAGAGGTACAATTCTAGGTTTGATTGGCTGAAGTTGTGGCTTTATGTTTTTTTTATAGAGATTATCTATTGTTATAACCAAAATCGGTACCTTAATTAGCCAACTACTCATGATTTGATTGATTTATTTTTAAGACGATTTTAATCTTACTGTTTTTCTGTGTATCTATGCCAGCTACTCTATTCATTCCTAGCTGTGTCAGCCACTTTACAGCTACTTGTATCAACTGATACGTTCTCTTCTCTTTTATTATATTTTTGTTTCTAATTTTTAGTATGAAGATATCATGTCAATGCACTCTATTTTCGATGTATAAAATTATTGTTGCGAAAACACCTATTACTATTTTACTACTATTCTTATGAATCTAAATTATTTTAATTACACCACATTCTGAGAGAATCAGCATTGAGGATTTTTTAAAATCACCAAAGATGTTAACACTGGTGTTAGCTGTTAACAAATAATGTAGATGTCAACAAATGTGTTTACTGTTAACAAATACATGTACCAGATGTATTAACAGAGGCATTAACTGTTAACAAATTTTGTAAATATTAACAGGTGTTTTAGCTGTTAACAAAGACATGTATTATAAGTGTTAACAGAGATGTTAGTTGTTAATAAATTTTGTAGATGTCAATACAAGCGTTAGGTATTATATGTTAATAATAAATATTGTTGAAGTTTCATTTCTCTATCAAAATGAGTAAATTTAAAAAACATTTACCATAAAATTGTAGATGAGAAACAAAATCAAGAAAAAAATAGTGTAAAAAGAAAGAAATGAATGTGAAAAAGAGGTATGTGAAAAATATGTGTGATTTAAAGAAAATGAGCGTAGAAAAGAGATCAAGAATCGTTGGAGAGAGAGATGTCAGATATTCACATGAGAAAGAAAATGTGAGAAGGGTAAAATCGTCCAACCAAGCTTAAAATGTGTAAAACTTTACTTATATGTCAAATCATGATTATTTACCTAATATCAACATCAAATATGAGTATTTGGGTAATTCACTCTTTTTTATCTAGGATTTATAGTTTTTTAGCTGTGACTTTGAATTTTTTAGCTGTAGATTTTTCTAAAGCACTTAACAAAATTCTAGGAAAATTGGTTTCTAGAACTACTACTTTCCTGTTATAATATTTTGGCTATAGACTTAATTTTAAATTCTAAAACATGATTGTTTCAAAAATAAAAAAATAATTGTCCACAACTTTTATAACCTCTACCAAATCATCACCTATGTAACACATTTCGCTCGATTGTTGGCTGTACGTGGGTTTCAAAAATTTGGATGGCATCAAAAGAAGAAAATGAAAACAAGTCTTTCTTGTGTTTCCAAAAATACAAAATAAGTCTTTATATTTAAATCAATTTTATAAGAAAGCCAAATAATTCACAGCTCATGAATATGTTACTTTAAACAGAGCTGGTATACTAAAAACAAGAGAAAATCAAAATAAAATCTTCGGAACGACCCTGGCAACCACACTCATTGTCAGAGTATCCTTCTATGCATAAAAAGCTCCATTTGGCTATAATTTTTTTAATATAATTTGACCACACATATCATGTGGTCTATTGGTAATTGGTAGTCTGATTTTGGGAAGATAAGCGATTCGGTTTTGAATCGTTATAAAAAAAAGGCGATTCAATTTTGAAATAACCTCCTATACTAAATATGTGTAGTCATGTAGATATGGAACCATGTTTTGAATCTCATTTAAATATCTGAAAAGAAAATTCATCTCTGCCCTATCCAAAATCAATAATAACTAGATTGTTACCTGCACGATTATACGGATATTTTAATATTAAATTATATAATAAATTTAAATTAATATTAAATTTTATCAATAAATTTTAATATTAAAATATTTTAAATTATATAATAAATTTTATCAATAAATTAATATAATTTGATGTTGTATAGTATTTAGATTTGTAATAATATTTATGTGCCTCATAATATTATTGCTATAAAGTTTATAAAATTTGTATTTTTGTAACTCTTATGTACAAAGAGAATATTATGTATGTAGAATGTTGACTAGATAGAATAATTAGAATAACAAAAGTTGGAGTAAAATATTTTACTCTCAGTTCAGTCAACTACACCCAATCAAGATGAAATAGGTGAAAATATTTTTCAACTCATTTACTTAAGAAAGATAATCTTTATTTGTTGTATCCACATTTTTTATCCTTCAAAAGCAATGGTAGGAAAACAAAAAATAAAATATATATTTCCACTGTATTTTTACCCTAGTTTACCCTAAATTACTCCAGTTTAGCCTTCATGTTACCAGTCACGCCAGTAATCTAATCAAATCCATGCTCTAGTAAATAACTTGCCCACGAACTTCAGTCAGTATCAATATTCAATGTTTCTTAGATTTTGAAGATTTTAGAGTCCCTATGTCCACATGCATTGAAACTCATAAAGAAAGTAACTAAAGATTCCGTGAGAGTGAGGAAAATAGTTGAACCTAACCTGACCAAAAACGGCACTGGGAAACTTGAGACGCACTGCTTCTTCAAGCTCCTTCCTAAGCGTTGCCGCGCCTGAGATCATCATCCTCACGGAACTCAAGTCATATCGCTCAGTCTCCGGTGACTTAACAAACGCTAAAACCACCGGAGGAGCCACCGGAGCCACCGTGACTTTGTACCTCTGAATCAGCTCCATCACCATATTCAACTCGAACCGCTGCACGATCAAGATCGCCGCACCGGTTCTCATCGCCGGAAGTATCAACGCGTTGAACGCGTACGTATGAAACATTGGGAGGAAACATATGATGACGTCATCTCCGGTGAAGTTGAGATTAGGGTTTTCTCCATCTACTTTCTGAGCGATGCTCGTGACTAATCCCTTGTGAGTGATCATCACTCCTTTAGGAAGGCCCGTGGTCCCGGAGGAGTACGGAATCGCCACCGTATCCTCCGGCGAGATCTCCGGTTTAGGAAGCTTTGTTTCGTCTGCTTGAGTCAGTTGTGTGAAACTCACGCAACCGTCATCTAAAACGGTGTCGTCTCCTTCGTCTAAGCAAACTATCAAAACGTTTTGAAGGTTTGTTAGTTTCTCGACGTAACATTGCTTAGTAATGATCATCCTCGCGGAGGAGGCTTTTGCCAGTTTTGTGATCTCAGCCTGCGTGAATAAAGGATTAGCGGTGGTGGTGGCGGCTCCGAGATAAGCCACAGCGAGGAAGCAGAGAGCAAACTCCGGCGAGTTTGGGAGAAGGAGCATCACGGTGTCACGTTGGCGGATTCCTAGCCGGTGGATCCCGGCTGCTACTCGCCGTGAACTGATTTGTACATCGGCGTAGGTAAAGATACGGCCGGTGGCACTGTCAATGAGACATGTGGCGGTGGAATCGCCGTCGCCATTGCCGGAGAATCTTTGAAAGACGTAATCAGTGAGAGGAAGGTGATTGGGGATAACCATATCAGGAAGTTTAGACCGGAAAATGAAGTCTTGAGAAGGTTCTTGATCTGACTTTTTTGTAATAAGAAGCGTTTCTTGTTGTTCGGACAACATTTCTTGTGTCGACGTTTGTACTTCATAACGAAAGTGTTTGCATTTTAAGGGTTTAAAATACTCTCCAACTTCAAGGTTTTGCAAATCTACAGTTTGATATCTCAATAATGCAAGTCAAATCTCAATAATTTAACATGTAGGGCATTATCATGTATATAATGTGAAACATGAGCTGCATAATTAACTATGTTATTATATACTACCTTTTATAAAGTAACAAATCAAACCAACTATCAGTTAAAATATCAATTTCTCCTTTTGTAAACTAAAATATCAATTTCTCTCTGGCTGGATTTTGATTAGGAGTATCATATATAGCGATCTATAAATCTTTACCCTTGTCTTATTCTATTTCTATTCAACTTTTTATTCAATATTCTTGATCTATATACGATCTCATGATCAGGGGTTGCATTCTCTTTCTCTTATCGTGTGTCTATCTTATTCCAGATTCTAGTAAATTTATTTGGAAACCGACACTCTGTTTCTTTTCTTTTTTGATAATTGAAGATGTTTATCCTTGTTGTGAATGCTATTTTGCTTCTTTTCTTTTGTTTGGAAGTTGTTGCAACTATATTCCGTCATAATATCATTCTTTAGTATACCTAAGGTCACATATTGCCACCCAATTTACAAGGAACAAAAAAACTAAAAAAAACACAACTTGTTCATAACATGAATTAATTACGAAGATAATAGAGAAAATACTTTCCTATAAGTTTCTTTCTTTGTTTATGAACAAAGAATAAGAATTTTTGACAAGAAAAACAACAACGAAAAGGAATTACATGCATGCATATACATTTGGATAATTTTGATCTTATGTTCATCAATCCATTTTCTCATTATTCCGACTTCCCGTAGATCCTTCTGTAAAGAAAACAAACTCGATAGTGTTTAGCACTAGCCCAAGACCATAATACTCCAAAAATCCAAAAAATTAAGACAATTTCTAAGTATGAAAAATAATATGGAAGTATTCTCAAAGAGATTTAGAGAACTTTGAGTAGAACAATCTTTCTTTCCTTAAGAAAAATTTCTTATTACTTTATTTATTCAACTTATGTTATATGTTACAAATGAAAGGATGAAGAGATATTTATAGCCTCCTAAATAATCTTACAAATCTCCTATATACTATTTGAGAAACATTTAAAAAATTGTAACCTCAATTTTGTAATAATTAAAAAAGAGCCTATGCTTACGTGTCACTCAATTAGATAGTCAATTACATTCAATTGAAAAATAAGTAGGTCCACATTCGATTTTTATATGTAGCTAGATATGTTTGTTGGTCAAACTATATGATATGATATTTATGATAGAAACATTTATGATGGTCCTGCTATATATAATTACTATTTTATTTTTTTTCCTTAAATAAAAGCTACGAAATTACCATAAATGACAAATATATATATATATATATATGGGCTTTTTGCAGAATTGACCTGAAACTTGAAGTCAACCACAAAACTAACCTCCTTTTTTTTTTGGAACTTTATTTTGCCCAATTCACCCCACAAGTTCATATAATTCACGAAAATGCCATCAATTTTTTTTTTTTTTTCGAAAATAACATATTTACTCTCTCACCCTCATCATCTTCAAGTAATTACAAGATTGCCATTGTCATCAATACTCCAACAACCATGAACAACCAATTTTGAAGCTCTTAATGCCTTCAAATTCCATTTACCCTTCTTCTTTCTCTATTCTCATGAACTAAACAACACATTACAACACATATCTCTCACTTTCTCTCCACAATGCGCTAAAAAAACCCAAGATTTTGATTCTACATTTTTTAGGGTTCATATAGTCAAAGAAATTAAAGATTCAAGGTGGATTACCTTTGTTTGAGCTCCTGAGTGCTTGATTCTACATTTTCTAGGGTTCATATAGTCAAAGAAAGTGCTCTCACCAATTGAAGGTATGAAATCGAGTTATTTTTTGCGATCTGTTCGTCCAG